CCCCGACACTCCGAATGTGGGAAAGGCCACAGGCCCACAGGTCACACAGGTCTCATTGTAATGCAGACAGATGGCTCCTCCTGCCCTGCCCACCAGCCCTGGGTCTGAGCAGAGTGTGGGACTGGACTCCGCACTCCAGCCATCCCAGCCACCTTATCCCTGGTGGGGGGCAGGGGGTGCCGGCAGCCTGAACCAGGTTTTTTTTCCATTTCTTTCTTTCTTTATATTTTTGTAGCTGCAGTGGATCCTCGTTGCTGCGCTCAGGCTTTCTCTAGTTGCAGCAAGTGGCTACTCTCTAGTTGCAGTGCACAGGCTTCTCATTGCAGTGGCTTCTCTTGTTGCGGAGCACAGGCTCTAGAGAGCTTGGGCTTCAGTAGTTGTGGCACATGGGCCTAGCCGCTCCACAGCATGTGGGATCTTCCCAGACCAGGGATCGAACCCGTGTCCCCTGTATTGGCAGACGGACCCTCAACCACTAGACCACCAGGGAGGACCCCTGAGCCGGCTTTAGATGTGTCACACACCCCCAGTCCTGCCACTCTCTGGCCCTGTAACTCTGGGCAACACAGCTGAGAGCTCCAAGCCTCATCTTTAAAATGGACAGAAGAGCAGTTCTTTTCACTGGCTAGTTAACGAGAAAGAGACGTGAAAAGACACCTGCTGCTGGGCTGGCTTGTAACAAAGCAAGTGTCAAACGCCATCCCCGCCTAGATGCAATGTCTCTGGGGCTGGACCACAGTGTGAGGGATGCGAGAGGGGAGAGACCCTCTAAGGACCCACCAGCCCCAGCTGGGGGCAAGGGTAGAAGGCCCTCAACAGTGGTTTGTGGTCTATCCCTTCGCTCAGCTGCCCTCGAGTCTCTTCCAGGTCCTCGCGGCCAGTCCTTATTCCAGAGAGACACCCACGGCCTGGTCTGGCCTGCCCCCAACCTGAGGCTCAGAAGTGGACCCAGAAGGCTGGAGGGTCCTGTGAAAGCCCACCATGGTCCCATCTGTCCCAGGATGGCCCAGCTGCGTTGGACCACTGAGGGCTGCTCCTGATGCACAGCGAGGAACGTCACCAGCAGCATCTGGGGGCCTGGAGGCCTGAAATCCCCTGCATCTTCCTCAGGCCCAGGATAGAGTCCCAACCCCCGGGGAAGCCCGAGTCTCGTGCCCCATTTCCCTTCCGGCCCCGCTCCTGCCCTGGCCCACTCACAACCCTCCGAAGACCCCTGGAGCTGCTCTCCATCCACTCTAGTCCTCAAGAGACTTCAAGACTCAGAATCTTTGCCGGGATGCCCTTCCCCTGACCTCTGCTGGGCGGCTTCCTGCTCACCAACTCAGATCTTCCCAACCAGTGTCACCTCCCGAGCAAGGATCCCCGCCGCCCCCGCCTGACGTGAAGCAGCCGCAGGGGTTCCATCCCATCTGGCTGGGCCTCCCTGACCTCAGGCCCCACCCGGCTCCTGGCCCACCGGTGGGTCCCAGACTGCCATCCTGCGCTCCTGCCCTGACCACCTCCGGGCCACCTCCGGGCCACCTCCTGGTACGGGAGACGCCCTCCCACGGCCCCCTCCACCCGGCCATCCTCTCCCTATGTCACCACTCTGGGAACCGACGCAGGCTGGGGTGGGCTGGGGCATCGGTCCAGGCCCGGCCCTTGGCAGACCCTCTGCCCGGAGGCTGAGCTCATACTTTGGGAGGCTGCCACTGCCCTGATTCCCAGAACAACTGCCCCCTCCAACCACCGCCAGGCTCCAGCTTCTGCCAGACCCTCTCTCGGCGCTCCAGGGCCCACCCCCAGAGTCCCAGCGTCCCCTGGGGATGGGCACCTCAAGCACCTGGGAGAGCCGATGGCCCTTCCATGGTATGGGTGAGGGAGCCCATGGGCCAATAGGAGTTGGGGGGGCGGGCACTGTCCTCCCCTGTTGTTGTCCCCCATCCCGGCTCTGGGGGGACTCTTTTTATGAGACCTGGAGCTGTGCCAAAAATGCCTCCCTTCCCCTCTCACAGGGTCCTTGCCCCGGCCAACTACTCCCTCCCCCAGCCCGGGGTCTGTGTCCCTCTGACCTGCAAAGGCAGCAGGTGCCAGAGCAGGAAGGAGGGCAGCACCCAGCGCAGCTTCCCCCTTTGGCTGCCGGCGTGTCGCTCGCCGGGGGACGTGGCTCTTGATCAATCGGGCATTCATGGAGTGGCATCCCCTCTCCCAAGAACAGCCCCCCTGCGGGGCTGGGGTCCAGGCAGTCAGACCACCCAGCCCTGACCCTCAGGGGCTCCCAGACCGGGGTGACCAGGAGGCAACCAGCAGGCCCCACTGTGTGGGCCGATCCCCTCGCCTCCAGGGGCTAGGATGATGGAGCCACGCGGGGGGGCACTGCCTGAGCAGGGGGCGCGTGCCATAGAAGGCAATGAAATGCCCAGCAGTCAGATGCAGGTTCGGATACAAACCATGCCTTAACTGCCTGAAACAACACGTGCAATAGGATAAGAAGACCAGGAGGGAATAGAGGACGATGGGTTGGGGGGGAATGTGATTAGGTTAAATGGAGGAGTAATGGGAGTTCCTTCTTTTATTACTCAGATCTTTCCGTAATGAGATTATGGATGGATGAAAGGAAAAGAAATTACTCTCTAATGAGCCTTGTGCTTGCAGGCACTTCACGTTTATTAACTCAGTTGATTCCATGAGAGAAATGTTATTATCCCATTTGCGACTCTGAGAGGTCAAGTAACTCTTCCAAGGTCACGCAGCAGGGGCAGAGCTAGGAGGGACGTGAGAGCTGGATCACAGCCAGAACTCAGGCCTGTCTAGATCAGAGTGGAGGCAAGGAAGAAAGAATCTAGAAGGTGCTACGGGCTCTCGTGACGAGGGAAGAGGGTCAGCAAGGGGCCTCACTTGAGCCCTTCTCCAACCACTGTGTGTGTGTGTATGTGTGCGCACACGCAAGCACACTCAGTTGTGTCCGACTCTTTGCAACCCCATGAACTGCAGCCCACCAGGCTCCTCCATCCGTGGAACTTTCCAGGGAGAATACTGGAGTGGGCTGCCATTTCCTTCTCTAGAGGATTTTCCCGACTCAGGGATCGAACCCACATCTCTTGTGCCTCCTGCACTGGCAGGCGGGTTCTTTACCTGATGAGCTATCAGGGAAGCCCTCTCCAATCGAGGGGCTACACAAATCCCAGCCACACTAGACCGAGCTCAGCCCCCCTGACGCCTCTGCCCAAGCTCTTCCTCCAGACCCCATGTCACCCTCCTACACATTTACATTCCTCCAGCCTCCAGGCTGAGCTCACTCACACTTCCTCCAGGAAGTTTTCCCTGTAGTCCACTCATGGTGGTCAGTCCCTTGACCTCTCACAGCCCTGGCAGTGAGTGCAAGCATCCTCACCTGGGTGACCACATGCCTCCTCACCCACCTCCCCGATCCCGTTCTTAATCCCTGCCACCCTCTCTCCAAGACTGAAGGATGCTTAGCAACACGCAGATGTTCTCTGCTATAATAACATCTTCCAACAGGTTCCATAACACTTAAACCCAGTCCCCCTGCCCTTCATCACCTACCTCTGCCGCCCTGCCCAGCCTCATCTCATACTCCTCATTTCCCAATGCCTTCTATCATATTCCTTTTGATTGAAAACTTCCCAGCAGCTTCCCACCATTAGGATGGAAGTGAAGCTCCCTGTATAACCCCAACGTGTCCCCCGCAACCAGTCTACCCCTGTGTCATGGGCACACTTCTCACTGGTCATATTGTAGCCACACTCACTTTTTTCCCCTCCCTTATACTCACCATGCTCCCTTCTGCCACTGGGCCTTTGCACGTGCTGTTCCCTCTGCCTGGAATGCCTTCCCCTCCTCATCTAGTAAACCGTCACCCTCAGACCTCAGCTCACACGTGCCCTCCTCAGGGAAGGTTTTCCTGACCTTCAGGACCATGGCAGGCCCCAGTTAGAGGACCTCATGATACTCAGCACTCTGCCCCCTGCCAGGCCGGCAGTCCCCTAAGGGCTGGGACCCCAGTTTTGCTCAAAACGAGAGCTCTAGCAGTTAGGACTGCATCCACAGAGCAGGCCCTTGATTTATATTTGTTGAATGAACAGGATATTCTACAGCCATTTATAAATGATGGACATGGGAGATTTTTAGTGACATGAGAAAACCCACTTGATCATGTTAAAAGGAAAAAAGCAGATTTTCAGGTTGTATATGCAACATGATTGCAAACAGCTAAGAAAAAAGTGAAAAGATAAAAACCAAAATAATAATACCAGGTCGGCCAAAAAGTTTCTTTGGGTTTTACTGTTATATCGTATGGAAAAACCCAAATGAACTCTCTGGCCAACCCAACACTTCCCTCTAGAGAGGATGACTGGCAATTTTACCCCTGCAACAAACTTTAACTAGTACACAGTGGACTATCTTACTTTTATCACCAGAAAAAGCCAACAGCTAACAGCTGTCCTCAAACCCATTTGCCTTCAGAGCTGGTGCCTCCAGCCAGAGCACCCAGCCTGACCCCTGCCCTGCAGGCACCCTGTGCCCACCCGCAGGAGGTTACATAAGTAAAGCTCAAAGGGCATGGGTCTGCGTGGCACGCAAGAAAGCTGGTGGGAAGATGGAGACCATCTCAGACCCCAGAAGGGGAATGAGTGGGGGTAGGGAGGTGGGCAGAGGCTGCAGTGTGAATGGGGCTGTGTTTTCCAGGCTGAGTGATGTGGGCAAGGTGCCATGCCCCCCTGGGCCTCCACTGCCTCATCCCTGAGGGAAGCCAACAGCGGTACCTGCCTCCTGGAGCTGGAAGGGTGTCAAAAGGAACAATGCAGCCAGAGCACGTGTCCCTGCCCATCGCTAGTTAATTTTCAGAGGGATGTGGGCAGACATCAAGAAGAACTTCCGGGAGCCACTGGCCTCCAGGCTGGTCAGGAAGTGGCTCAAGTCCCTTTAGCTCTTCCAGAAGAACCACTACCTGTCACCTGCCTCCAGACCCTCACCCCTCCACCCTCAGCCCTACGCACCTTCCTTAGAGCCAGTGGCCGCCACGGTGGTGGAGGCCGAGGTTGACCCTGTGGACGTCCGACCCATGGGGCTTGAGTGCTTCCCCCCGCGGCCGGGGGGCTTCAGGCCGCTGGGCTTCTGCATGGCGGTGCCACCGGGTAGGCACGGAAGGTCCGTGCCGGTCACGTGCTCTCCGCCATGGTCATTCACCTGTGGGCAGACAACAGGAGGAACGGCATCATATCACCAGATGACATCACACCCCGGCCCCATGAAGCAGAGACCACAGTCACCCCCATTTTCCAGATGGGGAAGTTGAGGTACAGAGAAGTGGTCACAGGTGTGGGCTGTGCATGAGCAGATGTTGTCAGGACTTGTGTCCTGGTCTGCCGGACTCTGGGTCTGGCTGGCTCTCTCTGCCAAGGTCCTGGGCCCAGGAGGTGAGAATCAAGAGTGAGCCGTCTTGGGGGTCTGCAGCACTGGCTGTAGTAACCCCAGACGCCCCAGAGCAGGACCACGTGGGTCATCATGGCCACCGACAGCTGAATGCGGCTCTCACCACCAAAGCGCAGGCCGGCAGGTTCTGACAAGCAGGGTAACCCGGGGGGTTACCCCAGTGGACCCCAGACCCTCTAGGCCTAGCCAACAGCTCACATCCTTCTCGATGTGGGCGGACAAAGCAACATCTGATTTAATCAACCAGCTTCACCACGCAGGCCACACGCCAGCTATTGAGTCCAGCACCCGCCCACCCCATCCCTAGTGCAGGGACACGCCCACACAGAGAGGAGCTTATACTTGCCCCAAACTCGCACCAGGATGGACTCAGCATGCCTTCTGCCCACCTTCCCACCATTACAGCTCCCTGCTTTTATGGCTAAGCAGAGAAGGATGCGATGCACACGGCATGCAGGGCACTAGGGTCTGACAAAGGGGACTCCTGAAAGGGGAAGTCCCCATATCCATGGTGATCAGTCCAGGGTACCAGGTGACAGCAAGATGGGCCTGGCTGCAGGGGGTTTGGGGAGAAGCAGAAAGGACAGGCCCGCCATCCCCTACCCCATCTCCACTGCCCTATACGCACACCCTCTCTTGTACGAGGTGTCCGTGGAGCATTCACCACCCGCTGGGCCCTGTCCTGCCCCCAGAGCCGCAGGCAGGACGTGCCCTCTGCCTGGGGGGGCCCACTGTCCAGTGGGGAGAGGGGATACAGAGCACCACAGATGGATAGAGGATCTGGGGAGAAAGCATCACTCCCCACCCCTGGGGCACCGTATCTCGTCCCACTCTCGGTCATAGAACACTATTTCTTTTTAGAGAACACTTTTCTCCATTCTTTTTCCCCAATTTTAAAATTTTATTATTTATTTTTTATTTTTGGCTGCACTGGGTCTTCATTACTGCACTCGAGCTTTTCTCTAGTTGTGATGAGGGGGGCCTTCTCTCCAGTTGCAGTGCTCAGGCTTCTCTTGTCGTGGAGCACAGGCTCTAGGGCACGCGGGCTTCAGCAGTCGCGGCTCCCGGGCCCTAGAGCACAGGCTCAATAGTTGCAGCGCACAGGCTTCGTTGCTCCAAAGCATGTGTGTTCTTCCCAGACCAGGGATCAAACCAATGTCCCTGCATTGCCAGATGGATTCTTCACCACTGAGCCACCAGGGAGAGCCCCTTTTCTCCATTCTTGATGCATATGATCTGTGTGTGCACGCTAAGTCGTTTCAGTCATGTCTGACTCTGTGCAACCCTATGGACTGCAGCCCACCGGGCTCCTCTGTCCACGGGATTCTCCAGACAAGAATACTGGAGTGGGTTGCCATGATCTCCTCCAGGGAATCTTCCTGACCCAGGGATCGAACCTGCATCTCTTATGTCTCCTGCTTGGCAGGTGGGTTCTTTACCACTAGTGCCACCTGGGAAGCCCCATATGACTTCTGTGAGCTGACCCCAAATCCAGACACCTAGACTAGTGGAAGGCCCATATGACTTATGTGAGCTGACCCCAAATCCCCACACCTAGAGTGGACACATGACCCAGGCCTGGCCAGAGCCCCATGGTCAGCTGAAAGAAGGTGGTGTGACCCAAGGAGCACCAGGGCCCAGACTCTGGCTGGAAGCTTTGGGAAGAGGTGCTCTTCTTATTCTGGGGCTGCCTGGGTGTGGGATGAAAGCCAGGAGCTTCAGGGTTGCCACACGGCAGAGCCTGCCAGGGAGCAGTGTCAGCACAGAGAAAGCAGAGCTGAGTCCCAGGATTCAGAGGGCCTGGATCCAGCTGAACCTGAAGGTGGTCCCTTGAGCCCTTCACTCACATCAGCCAACAAATCCTCACACACACACAGGCATTGTTATATCTTTTTGCCTAAGTCTCTTTGAGGGACACCTGCAACCGATTCCCAGGAGGCTCAGTGGTAAAGAATCTACCTGCCAATGCAAGAGACGTGGGTTCGATCCCTGGGTCTGGAAGATCCTCTGCAGGAGGGCATGGCAACCCACTCCAGTACTCTTGTCTGCGTGGACAGAGGAGCCTGGCAGGCTACAGTCCATGGGGTCGAAAAGAGTCAGACATGACTTAGCGACTGAGCACGCATGCATGTCACCCACAATCAAATAAGTTCTGACTAATACAGAAACCAACCCACAGTGCTCCCAGCAGGAATATACAAAGTTTCCCTAGAATGGCTCTCAGGCCAACAAGATGAGCCAGCAACACTATTGCCCATCCTGGCACGGCCACGGGAAGAGTCAGCTCCTCACACAGGGCGGCTAGACATCAGAGCAGAGGAAAGTTAACTCCCCTAAGCCACAGAATGGTGGCACCTACATGCCCAAGTGAGCTGATGGGAGCGAGGCATACCTGCCAGCCTTGACCTACACCCCCGCCCCCAGAATCCACCAAATCCAGCATTCTAACCACCTGACCAACTACATAATACCCCAGGAATTCTGGGGCCTGGGAGTCACTTGCTGTTAGGCATGGGTCAAGCTACAAATCACGTATCTAATAAATGTCATCTATCACCAACATATAAAGAACACTTGGCCTTCCCTGGTGGTCGAGTGGTTGAGGATCCGCCTGCCAATGCAGGGGACACCAGTTCGATCCCTAGTCCAAGAAGATTCCACCCACAACTAGTGAAGCCTGCGTGCCCAAGAGCCCGTGCTCCGCAACAAGAGAACCCACCGCAATGAGAGGCCCTCGCACCGCAACTACAGAAAAGCCCCACATACAGCAACAGACCCAGTGCAACCAAAAATAATAGATGGTTTTTAAAAAGAGAACACTTGACAACTTACTAATAAGACCTAATAAACAAAATGAACAAAAGATCTGAATACCCACTTCACCAGTGAAGATGTGCAAACAGCAACAAGCAAGTGGAAAGATGACCAACATCATCAGTCATGAGGATAAAACAGATCAAAACCACAACGCGATCCCACTTCACGCCGACTGAAGCGGTTAACATCGGAAAACTTGACAATATCAAGTACTGATGACAACGTAGAATAATCAGAACAGATTGTTGGGAGAAATGAAAAACGGTGCAAACCCGTTGGAAAACAGTTTTTGACAGTTTCTTGAAAAGAAACACCTACTATATGACCCAACCACCGAAGAGAAATAAAAACATATATCCATACAAACATTTGTTAAAAAAAAATTTGTTCATAGTGACATTATTCACAAAACATGGAAACACCCCAAACCTCCATCAACTGGTGAACACATTTATACGATAGTACACAGAGGTCCCTTGGCATCCTCAGGGGATTGGTTCAGGACCCTCTGCAGATACCCAAATGGGACAATGCTCAAATCCCTCATATAAAATGATATTGTGCACTCAGCCCTTCGTACCTGCAGATGCAGAACCCAACTATCCTTTTTTATTTTGGCCATGCCATATGGCATGGCCACTGGGGCTTCCCTGTGGCTCAAACAGTAAAAAATCTGCCTGCAATGCAGAAGACCCAAGTTTGATCCCTGGTTTGGGAAGGTCCCTTGGAGAAGGGAATGGCAACCCACTCCAGTCTTCTTGCCTGGAGAATTCCATGGACAGAGGAGCCTGGTGGGCTACAGTCCATGGGGTTGCAAAGAGTTGGACGTGACTGAGTGACTAACACTTTCACCTTCATGTGGCACGTGGAACCTTATTTTCCCAGTCAGGGATTGAACACACACCCCCTGCATTGGAAGGCAGAGTCTTCCCCACTGGACCACCAGGGAAGTCCCCGACTACAGATATAAGCAACAATATTGAATGAGCCTCCAAAAACACAATGCCAAGTGAAAGAAACCAGACACAAAAGACTACATATTGTTTGAAATCTGAAAACTACAGACACAGAAAGATCACCAGTTGCTGGGGGTTGAGCAGGGACTGACTTCAAACAGGCACAAGAGAACATTCTGGGTGGTAGAAATATTCTAACATTGAACTGTGGTGATGGCTGCCCACCCATATGTTTATCCTAAAAGTCATCAAACTGTACACTTAAAATGGATAGATTTAATGGTAGGTAAATTAGATCTCAACATTTTTTTTTAATCCACAAAAAATAAAATTCCTGAAGACTCCCCACAGAAGTTAGTGCAAATGGCCTTCCAGGCCTCCTCACACCCCACCATAGCCCTCCCTCACCCACTCCACTCCAGCCACACTCGCTCACGCTAAGCATGTTCTGGCCTCAGGGCCTTTGCACATGCTGTTGCCACTGCCTGGAGACATCCAGTGTGCTGCTCATCTCCTTCAAGCACCTGCTCCATGTCCCCTTGGAAGAGTGCAACCCCTGCCCACCCCTCTCCTGCTTTGTATTTCTCTACTGTCTGAGGACAGGACTTGAGTCTGTTTTGTTTCCTGGGGTATCCTTGGTCCTGATGTAGGCCTGGTGCCTACAGGTGCTTGGTGAATCACTTGAATGGTTAATGACACTGGCTTATCACCAATGAAAGGCCTGGGAGGCTCCCCTCACCTCCCCAGGGCCCAAGCTTCAGGACTGAGTGGCTTGTAATGATCAGCCCAGCTGGTGGTCTGACACTGCGGCTTTTCAGGGAGCTGGTCCGCTCACTAGCTTGCCTGCCCTCTGAGACAGGGACCAGGCATCAAAGCTGTGTCTGGCATTCCAGCCTCCCCAGCCAGCCTTGCTGA